CCCCCCAGCCAGTCAGGAAAAATAACAGCAGTACAGTATTAGAATAAAATTCAGAATAGCCACGGGCATGGAGCGCAGGGGAAAGTTTCACATTATGCAGAAATAGTATTTTAGGCATTTAAGAGATTAACAACTTGCCCAAAATGCACCATTTTTCAGTTTGTTTCAGTTATTCCACAAAGCTTTAGATGGTAGTTAGAAGAACGTAGTTAGGGAACTATCAAGGAAGAAGAATAGCAATATCGCTGTGCCTCCCACAGAATTGCAAAAAGCATCCTTTAGAGACAAAAAAGATGCCAGAAAATCAATCCTGACCTTTCCAAGACATTAACAATGACAGCCCAGGGTCCAATCTAACTCATTAAAAAGTCAATTGAAAGTTTTCTATTAATATCATTGAAAGTGATTGCAGAACTACCAGATTGCACCTGGTGGTTCCATTTGTATCCACATTTTAGGACATTTTTCTTAATTTACACAAACTTCTCTAAAAGTGCCAAGACAAGAGAACACAGTTTGAGAGAGCACAGTACACAGAACTACATATTTTTTAAAAAGCTGCCTTTGCTCACACACAACTATATATTAAAAAGCTTTGCTTTTCCTGTAATCAGTTTTGCAATATTTTATATTCTTTTTGAATATGAAATAAAAAGAATGCCTGTATTTAGACTTCCTTTCACCACACTCCAATGAAACTGTATTGCCACTGCAAGTGCAGTCTTTATAGACAGCACTTATTAGAAAACTATCATTTAAACTCTCATATGTAATTCAAAGCTGTCCTTAGTCAGCTTAAAAGCTGTAATAAATGCTCATGCTACACAGACAGTTGTTTATCTACTGTGTTCAGTCAATAGGAAAAAAAGATCAAAGAGAGGACCCGTGTTTAAAACCATCCCCACACCCTTTGATCAATAGCAGCAACACATCCTGTTGCTATTCCCAAATTTTGCCTTCGTTAGCGATTCCAGCTGACATCTCTGTATAATTACCAGACCAGGATAGCAGAAAACAAAACAACCCAAAAAAACAACAACACCCTACAACTCCCCTGCATTGAAACTGATGATTCAATTATTTATCTGGATTTTAAATGTTACAGAGAAAACAGAACTACCAACCTCTGGGTACAAGGAATTACATTTCCCTCTTGCAGGGACAGAGTTTCTGCCACCATGTTGATAACTAGATGCTGACTCCCATAACCTAACGGTGCTTTAGTTTTACCTGCTTCCTTAATCTTCCCTTGACAGATCACTCAGAAGGGCAACTGCAATCACAGCTCCCGAGCAAGAGGAGCCTGGTCTCCGGCAGGGACGTGACATCCACAAGCCTGGATGAAAGTTTAGCTCGTTTTCCTGGAAGTTCCTACCTCTTCATCTTTCAGTTTCTGAGTCTTACTAATGTTTCACATCTACGTTACATGAACTTTAAGGGTTTCTATTGCCCTCACATCCCTCGCAACAAGCACAGCTAAACTTAAGCATGTGCCAGGCATACCAATAGCCCTCAAAAAGCTTAACAACATTCTTAGCTCTTGGGGTTGCTTGGACTACAGAGAGGGCTAAATATACCCCTGGTGTAACTCCAGGGGAATCAACGGACATGGACCACAGATGAACCCATCCTTAGGGTTACCACTGCTGCAGTCAGTGAGTGGCCAGTGCTTCCCAGGAGCCAGGCAGCTCATTGCACCAAGGGGTTCAGTTGAAACAAGCACTCCCAGCTTCTCTTTGTTTGGTGGAGGACACAAATGGCTGGCTACAAGAGTATAATTAGAGCACAGAGGGGAAGGAAATGAAAAAGAAAAAGCTTCCTACTTAAGGCAGTGATTATCATTCCAATATCGGATTTAAAACCACTTAAGACAATTTTCAGTCCATGTTATCTTACCCACACCTGTCAAATTAAGACAATCACCTGCCTGAAAGCAAGGCAAATCATGGTGTATGAACATTATACAACAACTTGAAAATTTAGGAATAAAATCTTTTACCACTAAACAGACCTTATATTTTGCTGACAATAGGGAACTATCTCCCAGGTTGATCTTGCAGGAGTGAAGGAAAGCACGGTCACCTCAAAGAAGCAGAAAAGGCATTCACTTCTCAGCAGTGTATTTAATTGAACCTCTTTACTAAAGCCATACAAAGCTTTCCTGCTACCATCTGCTTTTTCCTTTGCTATATGGTCTTCCTCTACAAACATCCATTTTTCTAACATCTGATGGGGATGATCATCCTTTTTTTGTACCTTTTTCTTCAAAGGATTATAACAGACATTTCAAGCCACATGCTTTTGTAACATTCATGAATGCAGATTACTTCTTTTTTAAGTTCTCAAAGTTCTCCTTTTAGCCAGCTTTTACACCCTGTAATCCTTTTTTTTTTTTAAATTCATGATAGTGTACATATAACATCAAATGTACACCAAGAAACAAAATTTCTGCTTATGTAAAAGGTCACAGTGGTATTCAGCTGAGTGGATTGGACAAGTTTCAAAAACCAAAAACATGTTCTCAGGAGCTATGATGCACTTTAAGGAACAGATTCTGTAATTCTTCAGAAAAATGCTTATCTAGTGTCAGCACTATACTAACTGACTCATCATGATCAACACTATACCACTCCATGAAAGGAGTGGCAAGAAAGGAATAAATATACAATCATTATTCTGAATCAAGATGCTCATGATGCATTTGATGACTCACTCGTGGAACCAACTGCACATTTTGCTTTTCTCCTTTCTTCTTACTAAGTCTGGTGGGACACTTAAAATATATCAGTTATAAACTGCATTGTACCAAGATAAGCAAAAAGGGTGGAGTAGGGTGGGGAGGAAGGAAAGCAGCAGAAATGTAATCCACAGTAAGTGAACTGTGATTAGCTCACCAGAAGTAGCTACAACTTCAAAATCCCCCACTGGTCAGCAAAACGGATATGGGAATCTCAAGCTGTATCAGATGTTTCTGTTAAATACAAGGAGCCAATGCAAGTATAACTGATTCCTGATTTTTACTCTTTAACCCTGAAAAGATACTCTCTGTTCATCTAAAATCCTTTACCCACACACAGATTTAGGCACAAGGAATTTAAGAGCACCAGAATGGAGAGCAGCATGCAACAAAAAAACAGTGCTTCCACCCACACGCCTGCTCATGGAGAACCACCCTACCTGACTCTTCTCAGCTCATGTTACTGCAAAGGAGACAAGACTGTACTTCAAGCCATTAGAATTACACGATGCTGGCAGCTGAGAACTGACCTGCTGATTTTTTCTGGCTGATTTGCAGCAGCATAGAAGATGATTTATTTTTTTTTTTTAAGAAGCAGAAATTCAATATATTAAAAAAGAAAACCATTCTCCCATTACAAATAAACAGCTGGTAGGTTCCTCTGTCCACTGTTCCACGCGTGTGCATCCTGACAGAAAAAAAAAGTAAAAGGCAGGAGAATTTCGCTCCTTTAAGTCTGGATGTCTCATTTATATCTTTGCACAATCATGGGGCTCAGTCTTCCAAGCACTTTTCCAAACTGAAGGGAACTACACTACCCTGTAAACCCCGATTAGGATGTTGGTCTTTAGTCTTGATATTATATTATACTTCAATAGATTCAGATGGGTCAAGCCTTATTATGCTGCGTAAACTAAACTTCTCATGTAAGTTCTTTTTACACCTGAAACGGAATAAATGTTGAATTCACAAAAAGTCCACACATGCCTTGACTGATGACTAAACAGCAGCCCTATAATTATGCACACTGCTGCAACAGCTATTCTATTCTTGACTACGCAGAATCTTTCTGTGCTATGTTGTTAGCAGAGGGCTTTTAAAATATATGTAAAATTAGATAAATCATGCAAAAATCCTTTTATGACTCTAGGATTTTGGAAACACAAAACAAGAATACTAGACAGCACTTCATGTGAGTAAACAGCACATTACGAATGAACATAGTGAAGAAACTGCCTTCTGTCCTCCTACTTGCAATGTAAGAAAAAAA